ATATAGGAAAAGTTTATATAGAGCCTAGGCTTTGAACAATCAAATTAGAGCCCACTTTAAAAATTTCACTAGAAGAGGTTGTTCTGATGCTCAAATTGATCATCTCGACATCAAGATGCATGGCCATGAGAAAAAATGGATTTCAACTTTTGGAAATAATGCATCTTGTAACTCATTTTTGGACTGTCAATTTTCAAGATTTTAATAGATATGCTCAATCTACACTATTTTTGAAGCTTTAAATTTTATAATTAAAGATGAACATATATTTCAAGGCTCTCACAAAGATTTCCAATATTGAAACCATCTTTGTGCTTGAAAAATATAATGCCCAAAGATTAAAGAGAGACTACAATTTTGAGAGTGAGATCTAATTGTTGAGAATTCAAAACCAATTTTCTTGTTTTGAAAATAATCATGTATTGATTTTTAGGTGGTTTTTAAAACCTGATATTAAAAAGAAAATTATCCAAGGGTAAGTATTTTGCCCAAGGGAGTAAACGTATAGTTCCTTAGAGCATACTATACAAACCTAAAGGTAAAAAGATTTGGTCTTTTTTGGGTAATTATGTGGGGAAGACATGTCTCTACTCATTTTAGATTAGGAGTTAGCTTTTTGAAGACATTAGTGGGAGGTGTTAATGGTGGGATGGAAACCACGATGTGGTGACTATTGTGTAGGGTGCTACCACTACCAACCTAGCCCCTTTCCCTAAAACGACCTGGTCGAGATGGGCACTGTTGGATGCCTGATCCAACGTTCACTCCAACATGTAACCTTGAGCAATTTTCCTATAGTTTCTAGGCCAACTTGATTATTCCTATTGTTTGTTCAAAAAAATAAGAGAGTACTTGAAGTCTCCTATATGGCAAATTTTCTATAAGGAAAAACTGTATATAGAGCCGATGCTCTAAATAATCAAATTATAACGCACCTCAAAAATTTCACTAGAAGAGGTTGTTTTGATGTTCAAATATCCTCAAAGTGATATCTCGACATCAAGATGTGTGGATATGAGAAAGAAATAGATTTCAAGTTTTAAAAATAGTGTAATAAAATCATAATATATTTTTGGACTATCAATTTTCAAGATTTTCAACTTTTTATAGATTTGTTCCATGTACACTATTTTTTAAGCTTTTTATTTAAGGCTCACAAAGATTTCCAGTATTGAAACCATATTTCTCGAGACTACTTGCAGTTGCGCTTTACTTTGATTGTTTAGAGCTCTATGCAAACCTCACCCTTTCTATGAAGTGAACTCTAAATTTCTGCAGTTTTGACCATTGTTCAATTTTAAAAGCTCATTTATGTTCTTTTTCTTAGGATTGATCACAAGGAGAATTTATTTATGGAAAAAGTTTATATAATATTGCAACTTCATACTATTGAAGTAAGGTGCACCTCATAATTAATCTAGAAGAGAGATCTCCGATTTTGGTAAGCATTCTCATTAATCTTCTCGACCATAAAGATGTTTGGATATGAAGAATAAAATGAATTTTCAGTGCTTAAATAGTGCATATTATAAAAAGTTATCGGTCAATCATTTGTTTTCAGGATTTTTAGATTTTTAAATATTTATAGATCTGGTTTTTTACTAGATGTTTACTACTTTTCAAATTTGAAATGCCATAAGGTAAAAACAAATATTCAAGCCATCAAAAGGTTCTTGGTACCAGAAAACTTTAGTGGTGTACTATACTTCTATACTACAAGGAGGACACCTTATATAATCCAGTAGAAAAGAGTGTTTTACAGTTAAAAAACCTTTGAATTGATCATCTCAACCTTGAGGCAAACAAATTTTAAGTCTTAAAATTAGTATAACAGGTTATCTAAACTATCTATTTTCAATTTTCAAGATTTTCTAGATGTTTATAAATCGGGTCAATATATATAAATACTTGAATTGCAATGTAAAGGTTTAAAGGTTTTTTAATGCTTGAATGGCAACTTTCGATTGAGTTATGAATGTACGCTTTACTTATTGGGCTGCAGCCCTATCAGACCATTTTCCTAAATTAAACCTCTAATAACATCAATAAATTAAGCCTTGTATTAGAAATCCTTTTTTCTAGTTACGAATTCCTATTTATATGAGAAATATTTTTGCCAACTCCTTTCCTAATCGGATGTCACGCTCCTAACACGATAATCTCTCTCTCTCTCTCTCTCTGATGTCACGTACCTAACATGATAATCTCTCTCTCTCTACTGTTTTGCCATCTTCGCCATTGCTTTCCAAGTTTCTTTTCCTTAGTTTCTCTCTCTATCTACAAGACATTAAAGCCCTGCTTCTCTTCTCCCTTTCTGCTTCCTGTTATTGCTTTGCTTCTCTTTCTTAAATCTTAATCATTCACCAAGTATTTCAGTTTTAGAGAGAGAGAGCCATGGAGCAACACTCAGGCCTAAAGAGGAGGGCTTGCACTTGCAGCAAAGATGATTTCTTTCCCGAAGAATCCTTCAAGAGTTGGGGAAATTATATGAGGGCCCTCGGCAAGACGCCCTCTAGGCTCAAGGACCGCCTCTTGGCCCGGTCCCTCGATGCGACCGAGATTACCGAAGTTCGAGCTCAGAGCCAAAATGACATGAAGAAGAGCCTCAACTGGTGGGACCTCATATGGTTTGGATTAGGAGCCGTGATCGGCGCAGGAATCTTTGTTCTCACCGGACTCGAGGCCCGGCAAGATGCCGGTCCAGCAGTCGTTATCTCATATGTGGTGTCTGGTCTCTCCGCCTTGCTCTCGGTCTTTTGCTACACCGAATTTGCAGTCGAAATCCCAGTTGCCGGTAAGTTAACTCTCTCTTTCCCCTAACACACGGTTGCTGGTGAGTTTCTATGGGTGGTCGAAAAATTGATCCGGCCTTCGAAACTGTCTGAGGGCCGGGTCGGACAGGGCCGGGTCGGACAGGACCGATTAACGGGTAAAGCCTAACCGGGTAGGACTCGCCCGGTCTAAAAAGTGTTTAAAAATTATAAAAAATAGAAAAAATATATTTAAAGCTTTATTAACAAACCAAGTTAAAAACATCACATCAAACTGAAAAGTAGTAAAAAATTTGATTTAAAAGAAATCTATTTGTGCTTTAGATGCATTTTTAAATTTATTTTAAAAAATGGTAAAAGGTAACCGGTCAATTTCCGCTTCAAGTTGAAGCGGGCTGACACTGGTTTCTCTATCTAACCCGTGTAGGTGCAAATAAATTGGGGGTGATTGATGTTTTTGATGTGGGGGACGCAATTGCACAATTAGGATATAGTGCTCCCGGGGTTAGTGTACAGATATCTTGTTAGTATTGTTATATTTCATTATGAATATGTATCAGTATTAATAACTACCTCATTAGTAATTATCAATAATGGTTGGTATTTATCCAGTGTCCAGTTACTAGCCGTATATGTCTCTTTTTTTTAATTAATCAAGAATATACAGGACCCATATATGCATAATCAAGAATATACAATATACAAGACCCGTTTATGTATAATCAAGAATATACAATATACAAGACCCGTATAACAGATACCAACTGTTATTGATAATTACTAACGGATATTGAGATAGTTATTGACACCTAATATTTTCAAAAGATATATACTCATATAGATACATATTTATATTGATATATATCCATAATGATGTATATCAATACTAACAAAATATCCATATGTTAACACACTATTGGGGTAGTCTCTAGGTTGATATGTATCATACTATAATGCTCCAACTTGTGGTCCGTAATACCATAGTTCTATGTCTAATTTCTCAGGCGACATGGTGGATAAGATATAGAGAAGAAAAATAAAACATGGAAAATTAAATTTCATAAGGAGATTGCTTTATTAAATTATTTTTTATTTTTCAACTTTTTGACCATACGACTTCTTCCCTTCTTTCTTTGTTCTACTTTTTTGACATAGAGGCGTCAAGATTGACTAGTGTGCGCTACTTAGTTAATTACGGCTGTTAATGGACCGGGTTCAGTCGTGGCCCATCTAGGCCCAAGGCCGGCATGAAACCATGTAAGGTAGCCCCAGCTCGGCCCAAATTTGTGATGATGAGTCCTAAATCTGAAAAAAAAAGTTGGGCCGGCCTATCTCAAGTCCAGCCTGAAAATACCTCAGGTTCGATCAAGCATACGAAACCCAGCCGAGGCCCGGCCCACGGGAAATAACATGTGGCCAACCCGCCCTAGTTGAAAGCATGTTCCTTGTTTTACATGGCCTAAATTATTGTTAAAACATAAAGCTTCATGATTAGGCAAATCTTAAAAATATGCGCACATGTTATTCTATTCCTGTTATTTGCGTTTATTATATAAACACAAAATTAAAGAATCTGAGGAAGTTTCATTACTATGATCGACTGTTATCAAAATATTAGAAAGTTCTTATCTAAACAATATCTTCTTAGAAACTTAATATGCTTGGGTTATAGGTATGTCTAATAGTATAGAAGTCCTAAATATAAGTAGGAATTGGATAACAAATTATTCTGGACACTAAATATAATTTATAATTTATTACATTTATTTTATACATTTTGCAACATGTAAAAGTTGTTTCATGCATAAAAAAACACTTGCATCAAGAGAGGCTTTAATTATGGAATTTGTGTTATTTTAATTTTTTATCTGCAAAAATTTTTTGTTCTCCATTTTATATTTTTCATGGCATTTTCTTGCTCCAACTATTCTTATAAAACATACTAGTTGTAACATTGACATGGCTAATTTTTTAAAGGGAAAAGTTTATATAGAGCCGAGGCTCTAAACAATCAAATTTGAACCAATCTAAAAAATTTCACTAGAAGAGGTTGTTGTTTTGATGTTCAAATATCTTCAAATTGATCATCTCGACATCAAGAAGCATGGACATGAGAAAAAACTAGATTTCAAGTTTTGGAAATAGTGTATTTAACACATTTTTGGACCATCAATTTTCAATATTTTCAAGTTTTCATATATCCGTCAATCTACATTATTTTTTAAGCTTTAAAATTTATAAATAAATATAAAAAGATATTTTAAAGCTATTACAAAGATTTCCAATATTAAAACCACATTTCGCTATACTATTTGAAGGTAGGCTCTAATTTGATTGTTTAGAGCCTAGGCTCTATACAAACCGCACCCTTTTTTTTTAAATTACATTAGAATTTTTGTATTTAAATTACATTAGAATTGCCCCACTTGAACCATGATAAAATGATTGAATTTTTATATATTTTTAAAAACTTCTATTCGTGACATATCTATAAAAAAATTAATATTTTATATTATGAAGGTTTTAAATAATTAAGATAGTTGAAATTTTAGGAAATAGATGTGATTCCTACTTCCCTACACTTTGGAAAGAGAGCATCTAGGAATTGGTTGCATTTAGAGAAAGAGGTTTTAGGAAAATGGGAGGGATTGGGTCATAGAGAATTTCAAAATCCACATCCTTATTTATTCTTTCTTAGTGATCCACATTTTATGATTTTTTAGATTTTCCAACTTAACTTTTGGGGCAAGTTTCTATGCTTCCCTTACAGCATAGAAGTTCTATCCTCCCCCTTATCCAACCCTTCATTCTGAATGGACGGTTAAGATTGCCCCTATTATAATATCACGTCTCTATACTATTTTATTTTTAATTTTTTTTTATAAACTATTTTGACACCAAATTTTGGACATTCATTCCTCTATTACACTCGCACTAGCGAAAAATATAAAAATAAATAAATTTCCAATAAAATAAAATGAACAAAATACCGCTAAAAGTTTCAATAGGTATTTTGGTTATTATATTTTATCGAAAAATTATTTTTAATATTTTTATAGGTGCGCCTCAATGAGAAGATGACATGTACCAAATTTCATATTCATACAATTTGTATAGAAAAAACTAAAAATAAATTACTTTTAAGACATTGGATCTAAGATCAAACGGTGAGTGGCTCTCTTGATCAAAATTGGATGGCCGGATGGTAGGGGTAGGATAGAACTTCTATGCTGTAGGGGAAGCATTGAAACCTTTCTCTAACTTTTGGCTTTTGTTTTTAGGAAAGCTTTCTATATTCCCCCTACAACATAGAAGTTCTATGTTCCTTTTATCCAATCCTCCATTTTGAATGGAGGGCTAAGATTGCCCCAATCACATTTTTTAATTTTTTTTTTCTATAAACGGTTTTGACTCCAAAATTTGGACGTCCATTCCTGTATTAAACTCGCACTAACGAAAAATATATAAAAAAAATATTTTCAATAAAAGAAAATGATCAAAATACCCCTGAAAGTTTGAAAGGGTATTTTGATCATTATTTTTATCGACCAATTATTGTTAATATTTTTTATAGGTGCGTCCCAATGAGAAGATGGCATGTACTAAATTTCATATTAAAAAAAATTGTATTAAAAAAAACTAAAAATAAAAAACTTTGAAACGTCGGATCTAAAATCAAACGGCGAGTGATTCTCTTAATTAAAAAATAGATGGCTGGATGGTAGGGGGACTCAGAACTTTCGATGTTGTAGGGGGAACATAGAAAGCTTTCCCATGTTTTTAAAGGTGTGTCAAAGACTAAAGAGAAAAATTCTAACTGTACAAATTAGTTGCAAAAGGGGGGAGGAATGCAAAAGGGATGATAGTTCCAGGGGTGCTGGCACCTCTTCCTCGTGTAGTTGCCAAGTAAAATCTGGGTTCTAAGCTCGGGAGTTTCCAGTGGGTACCAAAAGGTCCACCACCCAAGAGTTGGGGCTCCTGGCTAGGCAGAAAAGGTTGGGGAAGCATGGACGAAAGGGAGGTGACCTAACCAAATGTTTTCTGAGGTCCCGTCCCTAGGATGAAAAACAAATGGAAGGATTTGACGCGGTGGTGCGAGCAACAGACCATTGATTTCCAAACTCTTGAAGATGCCCTGTTGGGAAAGAATGAAGGCGGTACTTAGTGTTTAAGAATCTCATGCCAAAGTTGTCCTCTTTGGGTTGCTAGCTGCCACCACCATGTAGCCAAAAGGGCAAAGTTGGTGTTTTTTGGGACAACAAATGGCCATGCCCAAGCCTTGTTACGATTTAGGCTTACAGACCACGGCCCAAGAAATGAGGTGATTTTTTTTACTGTCCCCATCCCTATACCATAAAAAATTGCGCATTAAGAGCTCGAGACGCTGTGCCACAGAAGCAGGCATGTGAAATAGGGACATCTGGTAAACACGGACATTTGGAAAGGGTGGCCCTGATGAGAGTAATCCTTCATGTTAGGAAGAGGTATCAACCCTTCCATGTGGCTACCTTACGCTCGAATTTGTCAATGATTTGGCTCCAAAGGCTCTTCTTAGGTTTCCCATGGCACAAGGGCAAGCCGAGGTAAGTAGAATTGAGGGAATCTACCCTGCATCCCCATCGGTCTGCAAAGGCCTGAGTTGAAACGGGGTCTAAGGCTATTTGGATTTGTTCATATTGATCTTGAAACCTGTAGCAAAGTAGAAGCAGAGGAGTAGGTTGTCCACTAGTGGGGCGTCGTAAAAAAGTAGAGTATTGTCTGCGTATTGCAGGTGGGAGACAAAGGGATCATTTCTTCTCATTTGGAAGCCGTCCACACAGCCGAATTGATATCGTCTAGAGATTGATCTACTAAACACTTCCCCCATAATGGCAAAAAGAAATGGAGAGAGGGGGTCACCCTACCCGAGACCTCTAGAGGAGGCAGAGAAACCTCAAGGATAGACCCATTTATGAGGACAGAGAAATGAGGTTGGCAGCTACATCCTCGAATCCACTTCCTCCAACATGAGTCAAATACCATTTGACGTTTAGTCTAGATGACGAGGTCCCTGTCCACATGGTCATATGTTTTTTTCTAATCCAAATTAATGACCAATCCGGGGGTTTTGGAGGCGACTCTTGAGTGGATGCATTCGTAAGCAACTAGTGCTCCATCCAAGATCTGGCGATCTTTGACAAAGGCACTCTGACAGGGAGATATTACAACCCTCAGCACTGGCCTAGAGGCCAGGATTTTGTAGGAGCTGGAGATCAATCATATAGGTCTAAAGTCTCTAAGTTCATTGGCCACTTCCACTTTGGAAATGAGAGCGATAAATCTGGCATTCAAACCTTTGTAGATGACTCCTCTATAGTGAAATTCAGCAAAGAAAGAGCGAATGTCAAGCAGGCGGGTCTCCTAGAAAGTATTGAAGAGGGCCACATGGTGCTCGGTCTTGGCCGAGGTCCTTGACAACATAAAGGATTTCAAATTCAGAAAACATGCGTTCTAGCAAGGATGCTTGTTAAGGGGAAATGGAAAAGAAAAAGAGGCAGGGTGGGTGTGGGCCGGGGCCATGAAAAGATTTTGGAAGTAGTCTAGAGTAGCCCTCTCAATGAGAGGAGCTTGATCGAAGATGATGCCTTGAGATTGAATTTGGGACAAGGAGTTATCCCTTCTCTTGCAATTGGCAAGACGGTAAGAAAGGGCAGTGTCCAAGTCGTTGCACTTAAGCCATTTAACCATGGACCGTTGAGCCCAAAAGATCTCCTCCTTCCTAAGAGTATTATGATAATCACATTTGTATTAGGATTGAATCATTGCTATAGAGGGTTGAGTCTCTTCTATACGGTTTAGGTTGGAAGTGGAGTCCAGAAAAAAGCGTTTGGGACCACCTAAGATAGGCCTGGTTAGGAGAGTAGATAGACCTGGTTCCTCGAGCCATGCCAGTTCAAATCGGAACAGTTTGGGACCCCCAAAGATGGGCAAGGTATGAAAAAGAAAGGATTTGTGGTCGGAAGAAGTTTTAGTAAGCACAAGGTAGGGGGTACTAAGGAAAGAAGAGTCCCATTCAGGACTACAGAGAAAGCAATCAAGCTTAGACAAAGAGGGGGAGGATGCAGTATGATTAGACCAAGTGTACATAACGCCATGGAGAGGGATGTCCATAAGTTCGGGGCGGGCAGTGAAATCTAATCATTGAATAGGTTTAAATAACTTCCATAAAAAAGGTAAAAAGGTTATGTACACTTGGTCTAACCATTCCACATCGCTTATGGACATCCATAAAAAAGACTCGAGCAACATCCTCGAATTCCATCGCTTCCGTGTGCAGCGAGCCTCAAGATGGAAACCTCCTCCCACAGGGAAGCTTAACCTCAACTTTGACGGCTGTTCTCTCAATAACCCTGGTGTCTCAGGCACTGGAGCCATCCTCATAGATCACCTCGGCGCTACTGTGGTAACAATCTCTAAACACATTGGCCATGCGGACTCTATGGAGGCCAAAGTGATGGCACACTTGGAAGGCCTCAAACTCAGCCAACCTTTCCACCTTTGTTCTCTCCTCGTCGAGGGAGACTCAAAGAACACTATCTTATGGGTGCAGAATCTTCCTTCCTCCCAACCCCCTTGGCATCTGAACTACCTGTTTGACGAAATTCATTAAACTTGCAGGAATACGTTGATCGTGTGGATGCATACTTGGAGGGAAGGAAACCAAGAAGTTGACTCCCTAACCATAGCAGCAGGAACAATAGTGAACTTCTAGAATTTTTTGGACCTTTTAGCTTTTTCTCTATTTTTTGGACCCTTCGTGGCGGATTGACCTATTTTTCTAGGTGGTTGTGTCTCACTATAACCTCTTAAAAGAGGATTTTGATCCCACTTTTGCTTTTCTTCCCATGAGCTTCCTACCGCTGTGGATTGTCAAGGTTTCTTGTACTTACTATTTCTCTTAGTTATCGGTTAACACTTTCAAAAAAATAAAATAAATAATAATAATATCAAGAAGAAATATTAAATTAATAAAATTAAAAATAAAATAAAACATTAATTTCTGAGTAAAATTCAATTAAATTTGCATAAATTTTAAATACAAATTCAAAAACTTTAGTGGCATCGAAGCTATTAGCTCTCTGAAGCAAATGTCTTCGCCTGCTTCAATTGAAAAGAAGCATATTGAAACTTTGTTGTTTTAAGTCACTCAGGACATCTAATGAAGTGCTAAAACAAGCGCCTTTCTCTCTCTCTCTCTCTCTCTCTCTCTCTCTCTCTCGCTCTCTCTCGAAGTGCTAATACAAGCACCTCTCTCTCTCACACAAACCCATTGTTTGTCTTTGTCGATTACAGGCGGATCATTCGCTTACTTGCGGGTCGAGCTTGGCGATTTTGTGGCTTTCATCACTGCAGGCAACATCCTGTTCGAGTACATTGTGAGCAACGCGGCCGTGGCTCGTGCCTGGACCTCGTACCTCGCCTCTCTCTGCAACCGGTCCCCCGACTCTTTCCGTATCACAACATCCCTCGCTCCAGACTACAATGTGCTCGACCCTATTGCTGTTGCAGTCATCCTTGCAGTGAGCCTCGCCGCCCTCTTTAGCACCAAGCACAGCTCGCGCTTCAACTACATTGCATCCATTGTCCATGTTATCATAATCCTCTTCGTGATCATTGCCGGCCTGATCCATGCTCACCCTGAAAACCTTTCTGAGTTTGCCCCTTATGGTGCCCGAGGCATCTTCAAGGCCTCTGCGGTTCTCTATTTTGCATATGTTGGCTTCGATGCACTCGCGACTATGGCAGAGGAGACTAAAAACCCTGCGAGAGACATCCCTATTGGCCTGGTCGGGTCCATGGTGACCACAACTGCAATCTATTGTGTATTGGCCTTGACTCTATGCTTGATGCAGCCTTACAACAAAATCGATCCTGACGCGCCCTTCTCAATCGCCTTCCAGGCTGTAGGCATGGGTTGGGCGAAGTACATTGTTGCATTTGGTGCACTCAAGGGCATGACCACAGTGCTCCTAGTTGCTGCTGTGGGCCAGGCTCGGTACCTGACCCACATTGCTCGAACCCACATGGCCCCGGCTTGGCTTGCATTGGTGCACCCCAAGTATAGGACTCCAGTGAATTCTACGGTGGTCATGGGCATTACGTCCTCTGTCATTGCCTTATTCACCGACCTCAGTGTGCTTGCGAACCTCCTCTCCTTGTCAACACTCTTCATATTCCTCATGGTGGCTCTGGCACTTCTGGTCCGCAGATACTATGTTTCGGGAGCAACAACAAATTCCGATCGGTGGAAGCTCATCGGATTCCTCATAGTGATTTTGGGGTCTTCGGTGGCCCTATCGATTGTGTGGTCGACTGGAACCAATGGATGGGTCGGGTATACAGTGGCAGCCACAAGCTGGCTGCTTGGAACCTTAGGACTCTGGGTTTGGGTGCCCATGGCTCGAAAGCCGCAGTTTTGGGGGACACCACTTGTGCCATGGCTCCCCTCTGCATCTATCGCTATTAACATCTTCTTGCTCGGATCTCTCGATGGGGCATCGTTCGTTAGGTTCATGATCTGGACCGGGTGCTTGCTCTTATATTACGTGTTCTTCGGGTTACACGCGTCTTACGACACAGCAAAGGCGGCAGAGAAGAATTTTGTGAGCCAGAACCTGGCGGAGGGTGACCGAGTCGCCGCCCAGATTCCGTCTGTAGTCATCGAGTCATAGGCGTGTCCGTGTCGAGGACGACGTGTTGCCAACCGATTCGAACTTTTCAAATTTTGTGTTTGCAAAATTTCCCTTTCCTTTTTGTTTTTTTTTATTTTGACATTTATTGTCTTAGTTTTTCATATTGGAAAAATATCACTATATTTTTTATATTTAGGTTTTATTTTTTGATAAGTCCAAGATTTCAAAAGGTATCTTTCGACTCCCTAATTACTTTAATCTTACTTTTTAACCTAAACAAATAAAAAAAAAACATACTCTCTCATCAAATCTCACCGGTTACAAAAGCTTCTCTTTCAAAAAACGTGCTCTCTTTGATAGCAGCACTGCATCTGCCAAAAACGGCCTGGATTTTGTTCTCTTGAAGGCGACTTTCTTCAAATCCCCTCTTAAAAGAACAACCGCCTCTTCACAGATCAGAGCAACATAGAAATCAGCAAATGGTTCAAGGCTCCCTGAAAATTTAGCAGCTCTCAAATCTTAATAGAAATCGAGCTTTTTTCTGTCCAAAAGTACTATAGTAGAAATTTAGCAGCTCTCGAATCTCAAATCCAAAAGTACTATAGTTTGAGCTCGATTTTGCCTGTGTAGTGATTCTCTAAAGTGCCCGGTTTTTCTAGGGCAATGGAGAGGCCATGCGCCACTAGGTTTTTGCACCAGGTTACTGTGACTATATGTCGAAACTCGGCGATTTCTGCTTCACAGAGGCAATTCATGGTGCTTTGGTTCAATTTTCCGGCAACATTGGCCAGGTCTTCGTTGGTTTTTCATCGGAAAAACAAGCAGGAATGTGGACAGTCTCGCATTGAATCAAAATTAGGAATGAGATCAGGGATATTTACGTCAATATATGATAAAGAGCATACAAAACCATGACGTGAAGAGAGAGAGAGCAGGAGAGAGGAGGAGGGGAGAGATAAGAAAGATATAGAGAGAGAAGGGGCGCATGGAGAGAGAGAAAGAAAGAAGTTTCAGAGGATGACTTTTAGAAATGACGTATATTTTTAGATTTGTTCGACAAAAAAAACAGGTTTAAATTAAGTCAAAGGGTTAGAAGAAATAAAATCTACAATTTTTATGCCTTAATATATATTTTAAAACTTTAGGTCCATTGTAAAATGAAACTTAAAAATAAGAAGTATGAAGATATTTTCTTTTTCATAGTTGTGGGCGACCACATTCTACATAAGAGGTAGAAGGTGGGTTTGATTCTAAACTAATTTTCAGTTATTTAATTTAAGGACAGTTATTTAATTTAAGGACACGGTTTCTATAAGTCCATATAGAAATGAGTCACCTCTTAAAAATTATTTTTGACATGGATTTTTGGACCTAATTTTTAAGGACACGTAGTCTTTAACATGGAGATCATGAATATGAAATAAATAAATTTTAAAAATTAAAAATAATAACTCTATTAAAAAAACATTTGAACTTTTAGTTCAATTTTTTTTAGATGGACCACCTATTTGCATCCATCTTTAAGATGAATGCTTTATACCTTGGGGATCACAAATGTATTTAAAGGTTGATTTTTGCTTTTCCCTTTCATTATTTTTGTTCGGATTTTTGGTTTGATGGTCAGGACGCAGGACTGGCAAATATCAATATAGCCTTGGGTCGTTAATCATTCAAGAGGAGAGAGAAAGGATAAAAGAAATGATTCAGAGGAGAGAGAAATGATAAAAAGGTATGATTCAACTTCTCTATTATTAAAGAAGAACGAAAATAGACAGATAGAAGATAGAACTTGAAAGGGTTGGAAATTTGAGTGCCCCTACTCTTTTACAAAGAAAGTTTATATGAGGATGCAACCTTATAATGTAGAACTATGGATGGATCTCAAAAATCCATCGAAAAAGATAGTTTTAATGTTGAAAAACTCTTTGATTGATCATCTTGACATTGAGATGCATGAACATAAAAAATAAAAAGATTTTAAGTCTCAGAATTTACAACATATTATCTACACCATCCATTTTCAAGATTTTCATATGTTTATAGATCTACTTGATATTATAAAAATAGATTTTGAAATAATCCTAAGAACATTTTACCTCAAAATTATATGCCATGATAAAATTTCAAGGTGCACCTTACCTCTACAGCTACGGATGCATCCGTATGCCAACTGCACCCCTTTTACAAACCACTTAAAGCACACCAATGAAATAGGAAAAGTACATAATAAGAATTTCAAATTTTGATACAAGTAGGTACAATCCGGTGGCTGTCAAGAAATTTTTTTTTCGAATTAGTTAGCAAAAACATTTTTGTATTTTGTGACATACTTTATATTGTCAGATTTTATATATGATAGTTATTTATGATTATGACCTCCTTATACTGAAAGTAAGTACTGAGAGTAAATAGTTTTACTGTATTCAATTGGCATAACCACTCCAACCCTTGCCATTGTATAGGTAAATTTTTCATATCGGTCTTCACCATTTTAAATCGAAAATCTCAACCTGAACTTGACTCACCAATAAATAAGAGGAAGAAAATTGAGTCGTTGAAGTTTAAGCTTTTTCACCATCATTTACAGAAAGCTAGGAAAGATATTTTTAGAAGTGGATATTAGGAAAAATTTATCGAATATTTTCCAGTTGAGCTCTTTTAAGTGTTGGCTTAAGGGGAGATGGGTTCCCTTTGGTAGGTATTTTTAAACTTAATTTTGATGGTAGCTCATTAGGAAACCCAGGTCCTGCTAGTTTTGGAGGAGTGGTGAGGGATTAGAATGAATATGTTGTCTTTTTTTTGCAAGCCCTTTGGGAGAAAAAACTGTAAACTGTGCATAACTTATGGTACTCTTAAATAGTTCAAAACTCTTTGTGGCAAGGAATTTAAGGTGTTATTGTGTTGTGGAAGGTGATTCTTTGAATGTCATCAAGTGGTGTAATAGGGAGCATAAGTTGCTTTAGAAATTTCAGTCCATTTTACTACAAATTTGGGACTTATCTAGGCCTTTCCAATTTTTATTTGTCTATTTCTTCCGTGAGGCCAATGTGTTGACGGATTTCCTTGTCAAAGGCAGCACTTCTTTAACTGAGACTTTGGTCTCAGACTCTATAATTTCTTTGTAGTTGTTGATTAATAAAGCTCTGAACTTCTATAAAAAAAACACAAATAAGAAGAAGAAACCGATTATATTCAAGGAGATTGTTATCGTTGCTACACAAAAGATACACACCCAAAGCCATCAAGTTTAAAACTCGTACAATTGGGGTGTCATTTCTATGTATAAAGCTCAAGGACAATTTTTTTGAACTTCGAATGGTACACCTCTAGCCGCTCGATTTCACATTTAATGAATACAAATGATTATACTTTTTTTTTTTTAACAAAAAATAAATCATCTTGTTATATATTTTCCCATATAAGAATTATGAACAGAAAATCAATCCATATTAACATATGAAATTTTGTGATTTTCAATAAGCAATTATTAGGGGCCGTTTGGGTACATGGATTTTTAATATCTTGGATATTATTAAAATTCACCATTTAGTTTGCTCCCTGGAAATGATATTAAAATTCTATAAAAATTAAATATTGAAAAATCACTTTATCTTTTTCATGAGCAAAACTTGTTTTTCTGAATTTCCAAGGCCCATGGATTCTACTCGTCAGCCCCTCAAACCAAAACTTAAGGCATGTTTGGTAGGTATGAAAATATTTTCATGTGAAAATTATATTACATACATTTAATACATGATAAATACATAAAACTTTATCAAATTTTAGAGAAAGAAAGTACCTAATTTTGTTTAAAGAAAAACTATATCCAAATTTATAAAGAGATAAATTACATATGACTCCTTGTACTAAAACTAGTTATATATGACTCCTTGTACTAAAAATAATTGAATTTCAAGGAAATTATAAAAAATATACCTTAATTTTGTCTAATTAGAAAAAAAACCCTCAAATTTCATAAACTTCGTCTACACCCTTTTTTTTTTCTCAATTTTGATATTTTTTTTATGAATATATCCTTCAAGGTAGTCACATGACCATGAAGGATCTATCATTAAGGTATTTTAACTAATAAAATGCGGTAGTTATTACCATAATACGCTACCGTGAAAGCTATTTTGGTTAAAAAAAAATGTCAAAATTGAGAAAAGGGTGTGGACAAAGTTTACGAAAGTTTAAGGTTTTTTTTTTTCAAAACAAAAATTAAAGTATATTTCTGATAATTTCTCTTGATCTTATTGTATCAATTTTCTTTCTTTACAACACGGTTTTCAAAATTATCAATCCTAATCGGAATCGCCTGATCTGAATTAGAAACTAGCGGTGACCAACCCAATTCTCCATTGGAACTTGGAATCAGTTTGGTTCTATAGAATTGGGGGCCAATTCTGTCAGGAATGCAGGCAAACCAAAAGGACCGGATCACCCGATTCCCACATATCTTATTTTTTTTTATTGTTTTTCATGCTTTATTTTTAAACTTTTAATTTTTATGGGAAATTTATCAAAATGCATGTAAGAGATAAATTTCCTCATTGGTTGTATGATAAATTTCCTTTTTTTTCATTGATCGAATCTCACCTAGGGGAATCAGTCGGATCGCGAATCCATACCGATGTCCTGGACAACCGGTTCCCTTGACCGATCTAGGCATCAAACAGTGCTTTACAGTACGCTCCTGCCAAAGCAGCAAATTTTCATGCTATATAAATAGCAATCGGTGGGGTAGATCATTCACCCTACATATCCATCTTAGCTAGCTAGATCGACGATTATGAATGAGTCTAAGATCGATTCAAATTGGTTATAGAGGAAAAAATTAAAGATAATAAATTAAATTTAGAATTAAAATAGCAGTTTAGAGGAAAATTTTTAAGGGATTTAAAAAACATTAAATAATTTTATTTTATTTTTTTACAAAAAAAAAAAAAGGATTTTAATCCGATTGATTTCCATCCGAACCAATGATTCAAATCGAGAATCGCCAGGTTTTAAAACATTGATAAATGGCATGTGAATTTGGGTGTTCATAAGATAAACATTGTGCGTCATATCTCCATGTGCTATTTTCATCTTCCTTCATGCCTGGGCTTGGGCTTTCACTTGATAATATGATTATTTGCATGTCTTAAAAGGGCTTAGAAGACTTAAAAAAAGCATAGTGATTGA